ATCAAAGTGCAGAGAATTAGAGTCTGCACAGTTTGAGTCCTTGGACAGGACTCCTATATTAAACTCTACCCCACAGGACTTAGAAACCATTGCGGGAGTGGGAGGAAAGATTGTAAAAGTCGGGGGAGGAGGTGCATGTCCACATGGAAATAGAGTCCAAAGACTCCTGGGACCTTTCTCATGTGAATCTACAGCAATTGTGTAAGCATACACAAGACCCATACATACAGAAGCAGACAAAAACCCAACATAGAATTGTGGAAATGGCAGCATGCCCCAATCATACTCAAAAAGACCATTGGCAGCTGATTACTGCTGGGCGAGGAAGCATTGAGCTTCTTAAAGGGAGGGTCTCTAGACAGACTGACTAGATCTCAGTGTATAAACTTGCACTGAGAGATGTGTGAGGACACTAACTTGACTGGAATAGTCTTAAAACAAATGACAAAATGCTTGAATTCCAGTGGGGGTCAGGCTGCAATATGAGTGTGCCAATGCAGAAAGGAGTATAAAGATGATTAAGATGTTTGGTATTAAATACACAAAAATTCAATATAAATTTACAAAAAGATTTTACTTTAATTCAACTGTAAAATAAACTTCAATTTAAAATAAATAAGGTGAAGCCATCCAGGACGATAACTGTATTGATCTCTACCCACACTCACACACATAAATGCACACACAACATTACATGCACACATCAAGAAAGAAGAAATAATAAAAAAGAATAACGCAAAAATAATTTTAATGGTTATCTTTTTAAGGATGACAAAGGGAGAAAAGAAAACAGAACTCAAAAGCTCTCTGTTCCATTGCAGACTCTCAGCCAAATAGAGTAAATGGAGGTCAGTAGAAGTTGTCGACTCTTGTATTTACTGTGGTTTATGCTGTGTCTCAGTCTGTATCTCACATGTCTGATGTCCACAGAGTTGTCCTCACTTGGCCTTTTTCCTCCTCTGGGGATCAGTGTCCTCTGCTAGCCTCACTTACTTTGGCAAGGACTACCACTCTCCACAATTAGCCACACCATACCTGTTCAGTCATGTGTTTCCCAAATTGTTTGGGATATTGGGGTACAGACACAGCATGGATGTTGGTGTGGGCAGAGGATCTGGCTTATGACTTTAAAGATCACACTTTCTGTGTTAGTCACTCCTGGTGAGGGATGCAACTGTGAACATAGAATTCCAGAATATTCAGGCTCTATAGTAGAGAAGGACAGTGCTCCAGAATTTCATCTAGTGCTCCAGAAGCCAGAATTTCATCCCACCACTGGCCTCAGAGGCTCAGAGCTTCCAGGCTGCAGGGTTGTTGTCATTAGATGTGTCCATAGCTAGAGGCAATGGGGGGATTAGGTCTCTCTCTCTCTCTCTCTCTCTCTCTCTCTCTCTCTCTCTCATCAGCATCAAATTGATAGATAAACCCTGAACTTGGAGAAGCATAGACTTTCCCATTCCTGTGGCTCAGCCATTTTCTACACCTGTTTGTGGTGTCCTGCTGGCGAGCAAGCATGTGGAGCAATGAAGAAAGGGAACAAGAATGCGAAGTTGGGTCTTCATTTCTTATTCTGTTATATGGACACAAGAAGTTGTGAATTAGTATAGATATGCCCCATGTCTCCTGAATGGCCCTATCCTAGGTAACCATAACATAATGTCAAACAGTGGATTACACCATCATATTTATTTTCTTTTGTCCCAGGTAGCCTTCATATAACACCAGCTCAACTTAGAACCGTTTATCAGCACAATCATTTCCCTAGTGTTCTCCTTTGTATAGTTCCACCCAGCTCCTTCCTTACCTTGTTGCCAGTACTTAACAACCAAAGATACTTCCTCCATCTTTAAAACATTGTCACTTCTGGAACTTTATATCTTGGAATCTTTCACCCCATCAACTTCCAGTGATGGCCTCTGTCATATTATACTGTTCCCTTGAGGTCTATTCTCATTTGTGCCCACAGTTCATCCATTCTGTTGTTGCGTATAATACTGAAATATGGATGGACTGTGATGTACTTAGGATTCCACTGACTAAAAAGTGTCTACATTTTCCAGGAAGTCTTTCAGAAATGTATGATTTAGCGAGACACAGTTCACTAAGGATGGTCAGGCAGCAGCACACCCAGAAACCTGTTAGGAAAGTAGCTTCCTGAGTGTCACCTGAGACTTGAGTCTACATTGTTTAGTATAGGCCCGGGTCTCTAGGTTGTTACCAGCTTTGCTGAGTGTGGGCCTGGGTCTCTAGGTTGTAATCACCTACAGGAGACTGTGAGGTCTGAAAATTCTGAGAACCACCAAACTAGGAATATTAAAACCGCAAGCTCACTAAGTCATTTGCTTGTTGTGTGGAAATATCTTCCACTCCAAATCCCATGTGACAAACAAGCAAAGAAAACGAGTCACATCTGTCATTCAGTTCAGGATTCACATTAAAGGATTCACCTCTCCCACACCATTCAAAAGCTAACTGTCTTCAGCAGCATGATTTTAAATTCCATGATCATAGAAGAGAAATATCAGAAATTGTTGGTTGATTTGGTTAGGAGTTCTCACACCAAGTCATCCTAGGATGAATTTTACACATTTGTGTTATTAAAGCATGATTTGGGGTTAATCCTGACAGTACTTTAATTGTTTAAACTGAGTTAGGAAGAAGAGTAAAATTCTATCATGGAAGGAAATTCACTTTGCTGACAAACAACAGATGAAAAAAATCCCATATATGCAATTCATATAAAGTCTGTAAAATAGTAATATGGCTAGAGATTAATGAGACCCTATAAGTAGAAAGGATATTAATAGTTCTTCTGTTAATGCAACCTTAGAATCTATAAAACACTTTTTCAAATACTCTCTGATGTGAAGAGAAAGAAAACACCTTCAGTGGTATATGCTCAAGAACCTCATCTTTCTCCCAAGTCTTTAATGATTTTTATTAATATTTATAGTTTTTACATATAAGGAAATGAAAAGCCAAATATCAGAATTCATAATTCAATTCTGTTATGAAAGAATTTTCAATTATTTTTACTATGAAATGTGTGTTAAAATACTTAACTCCACAATAATGAAAGCACTTATTTGGATCACAGGAAACTGTATCTGAGACAAAGTTTCACTGTGCAGCCCTGGCTGGCTTGGTGATCACAGAGATTTGCCCACTTTTGCTTCCCAAATGCTAGGATTAAAGGCAGCACCATTATTACTGAAATTATTTTTATGGAATTTATCTATCACAGTATCATATATATTACATGTTATATATATATATATATATCAGTCTGCTGTCAACTCCGTATGCAATTTGAGAATTAAGGATGGACAATAATGCTGATTATAATTTCAGCAGTTATAACAGAAGAAATTGGAACCATGAAAATGTTTAGAAGGAAAATTCCGGTTTATTTTTTAAATTTTCTGTTATGCATTTCACTCAATCTGATGATAATTCGGATAGATTAAATTTATGATTCTTATTTATGTATTAAGAGGTTTGAGAGTCTTTCCAATGTGGCAATTAAGGTATATTTAAAACTTTAAGCTAATTCAGAGATAATCTGTTAAAATTTGAAACCAAAACCCTGTCAGATAAAAATGTAAAAAATGGAATGCTAAGATGTGAAATTTATTCTCCAAAAAACTATATGAGAGCTGAGGTAGTGTCGTGTGTCTGGACTTTTGCAGGAGAGACTGCACTAGATGGAAAAATCTCTCTGAGATTAATGCAGAGTCGGGCAGCACTGACCACAAGGCTTAGGATTCTTAGAGAAACCAGTTCTAGGTGGATGAATTACTTTGATACACATATGCCTGCACACACACACACACACACACACACACACACACACACACACACACACATATATACACACACTTGTTACGTATCACATGGTTTAGAATAAAACCCACCAAACACTAAACCATGGTGCTGAACTGTTCTTTAGAACTCACAGCTGGAAAGAAATATATGCAGGAAGAAGAGACACATCTTTACTGGCCATCAGACAGCACTGTGCAGTGTGGTGAATACCCATCCTCCCAAATCAAACCCTGCATCATAAACTGGAAAATGGTGGCTCCCTTAACTGAGAAGCAGAACACATTACTCTTCTTCCTGAAACTATGTGCAGATTCCGCATTATGCTCCTCACATTAAAGCCTCCTCACAGCAGCAGATGTCTCTGACTGCTGGTATCTCCTAGGACTAAGTCACCAGCAGCTGTCCAGTGACTTCACTAGAGGACAAGAGACACAAAGAACACAGAAAAAGTACATATTCAGATCCAGTTGCTGAATGATACAAACACACCACACATCGAATTAAACACAAATTTGAAAGTGGAATTTAAAGTTTTTGTAAGCGATTAAAATAAAATGTCTATTTAAAAATAGTAAGAGTGTTTGCAGAGCTAGTGTGATGCCCAGGGCTTGGTCACCAGCATTAAAATAAAAATAATAGTAATAAGGATTAGGAAAGCAGTAGCTTAACCCACTTGGTCCATATGTTTGTTGTACAAACTTCTGTCATAACGACCTTATGATTTGCCAGGAAGGAAAAGGGAATCACCTGCCCACAGCTAATCCATCTGCTAGACACAATGTAGAGCTTTGCAAGGCACAAATGTAACCCTACAGATGTCCAGAAAGCTTGGGTCAAAATGCCATTATTGTATTTATATTGTGACTTTAAAGTTATGGGTTTCACAAAGGTAAATGGAAGGTTTGAAATATTTCTTTGTTCTTGTTTTGTCTAAAATAAAAGTGTTTTAAATGACAAGATGGAGAGCTGACTGCATGTGCACTCGTGCAACTGGTTCTTGAACACCTGGAAGCTTCAAGCATGGATAAATGCATCATTTAAAGCATGTTTATCAGGTTCTAAAATACAATAAACTACCAGTTCTTAAACATTAGTTGCTGAAATAAGAGAAAATGGACAAACGTAATTTCTGTACTATTTCTCCAGTGCATCTCTCATATGTCTTTATTTTTCAGGTTCATGCACGATTTCTAATCATAAATCGATGATAAGAAATGTAACTACAATGAGTAGCTTCCTCCTCCTGGGGTTCTCTGACAAGCAAGAGCTACAGATCCTACACACTTTGCTCTTCTTGGTGATGTGCCTGTTATGTTTGGCAGGTAACTTCATCATTATTACCATCACAACGCTGGATCCAAAGCTCCAATCTCCATTGAGTTTCTTCCCCGAAGCAACTTTCCCTTCTCGACCTCTCCTCCCTGACTGTCACTTTCCCCTTGTCTATCTACAATTCCCTGACAGGCAATGGATATATTTCCTATGCTCAATGTGTCCTTCAGGTTTACCTCCTCACGTCCTTAGCTGGATTGGGTGTGGCCATCCTTACAGTGATGTCCTATTCTTGTTATGTGATTGTCTGCCTCCTACTGTAATATGAGGTCATAATGGGACCCAGAAAGTGTAGGTGAAACATGACAGCTATTTGGCTAACTGCCATTATCTCACAGACATTCTACACAGCAACCACATTCTCAATCAGATTCTGCAGGGCTAAAATAATCCACCAATTTTTCTGTAGTGTTCCACAGTCTGCTCAAGCTCTCCTGTTCCAATGATTACCTTGGAGTGATTGGAGTGGTTTCCTACATTGCTGTGCTGGTACCTGCCTGCTTCATCACCATTGCCCTCTCCTATGTCCAGATATTCTCCACAGTCCTCAGGATGCCCTCTGCGACAGGTAGGTCTAAAGTCTTTTCCACCTGCCTGCCCCACCTTTGTGTTGTCTCATTTTTTTCTCTCCACAGGAACCTGTGCATATCTCAAGGCAACTTTGGACTCTACAAATGTCTTAGACCTCACCATCTCTGTTTTATACAGTACTACCCCCAACACTCAACCCTGTTATCTACAGTCTGAGGAATAAGTCTGTGAAAATAGCTGCAAGAAAGTTACTGTTAAATGATAGATTCACTGGCAGATAGTTTTGTCTTTTTATCCATAGATGGCAATATTATGCAGAATTATTTTTAGTAAGTTTTATTAGTAATATGCAGTAATGTCTTTTCTGTAAACAGTAGCTATGGACATTGTCAATATAGATATTCCTCTTCTTATTTCTCTAACTCTGGCACTGAAAGCATTCTTGTTCTTTCATGTTGAGGGAAAATACAGAATTATAGCCTAGTAATACAGGTTCACTACTTCAAAATTGTCACAGTGTATATGCACAGACACATAAGTATACACAGTAAGAATTATAGTGCACATAGAATATGTACATGTGTAATCTCACAAAAATAATAAATGGTGACACCATGTACTTATAATTCCAATCACCAGTTGATGATGATTTCAATCATTTAGCTTCAATTTCCAATTGAAAATTTGATGAGTGTCCATACAAAATTTATATATTACAACAAGCCCACTTACATTTTAAGTCTAAGCACTCTACACACTGTATATTATTCAATGTAATCCACATTAAATACATGAAATATTCAGTTATGTATTTATACACAATGATTTCTTCAGACAGGAATAAAACTGAAGTTATAGTCTTAATAGTTAAAAAGAATAATGTCTTTGAATCACACAGTAGACAAGTAGAACTGTAGTCCCATTTTGAAAAAATTATTTTGCAAAAATACTAGAATAATTGGATAGGACCATTACAATGAAGGACTGTGTGGTGCATAAGAATCCCCCATTGTGTTATTTTATCTTGCAACAAATGTCAAAATAATTTGTTTGCTCTTGTATTCTCAGTGTCTAGGAAATAGAAATACCTTGCTATTCACATAGGATTTCCCAAACAGGTCTTATTTTGCAGGCTGGGCCTGGTGGAGCATGCCTTTAATCCCAGCACCCCGGGAAGCAGAGTAAGATGAACTTCTTTGATCTCCAGGCCAGCCTACTACATAGCATATTCTAATCTATCTCAGGCTACAGGGAAACCCTGTCTCAATAAAAAAATGTAGTATTTTACCTTTCCTAATTTTTATTAATGTGTGATAGATCAAGTGTCTGGACACAGCCATAATATAGAAGTATTTTTCATGTTTTCATTTAATTTTATATTTTAATTTTTCCTGTGACTAAATACTTTGTATTTTTTACATTTCTGTCATTCATGACAGTAAAAAATTCTCAATTCCTATTTATTTCAATTTTCCAGTCATTTGTTTTGCTATAAATTTTATATCAATTTAATTATGAGTTCCTGTGAAAAAATTTACATATTATCAAGACATAGCCTTCAACAACTTTCATCATTTCATCATTAGCCTGCTCAATATATTAGATATTACAATTTAACTTTAATGATACACAAATTCTGCTGTTTTTTGAGCTCTATATCGATATGATACATTAATATTATTTTTGAAATATTATTCTAATACTCTATTATTTTAGTGTACTGAATGAAAAAATACTTTCAATTACAGCTTTGCAATTTCATTTTATTCTATAATTAAATATTTTTATTAAACAGCACATACTGATTCTCACCAGATGTGAATACAAGGGAATTCTTCAGTGTATAATGTTCTTTTATTCTTGTTTGCTTTAGGTGTATATGTGAGGGTGTGAGGGTGTGTGTGTGGGGTTGAGGGTGTGTGTGGGGGGTGTGCTTATGTGTAACAGGAAGAAAGAGAAACAGAGTGAGAAAGGGAGAGAGAGAGAGAGAGGTTCTTTGTCTCCACAACTGCATAAGCTAGACAGGCTGGCCCACAAGCTTCTGGGGGTTGTCCTGATTCCACCACCCACTTCCCAATGGCTGCTGGGATCACAAACGCTTATCAATACTTGCGTGTTTTAAGTGTATGGTGTTTACTATGCACTGCACCACTATAGTTATGCCTTGAGAAAGGGAGAGAGAGAGAGAGAGGTTCTTTGTCTCCACAACTGCATAAGCTAGACAGGCTGGCCCACAAGCTTCTGGGGGTTGTCCTGATTCCACCACCCACTTCCCAATGGCTGCTGGGATCACAAACGCTTATCAATACTTGCGTGTTTTAAGTGTATGGTGTTTACTATGCACTGCACCACTATAGTTATGCCTGTATGAAATCAACCTGCCAGCATCCATTTTGAGGTCTGGAGTAGATCTGATCTGCAACATGTTCTTTCAGGATTTTCTTGGGTCTGTGCTTTAGAGCAAGAAACCAGTCTATGTTTTATCAAAACTGTATTTTCAGAGTGAAATGCAGAAATAAAAGTCAAATCCTTTAGCTTCTCAGAGAATTTTGCCTTATCTGATTCAATATTCAGAACAAAACATAAATACATGCAACCACAAACAGATGGTGTCAATGGAATCACATGTATTGTTGAAATATTATTCCATATTTCCAAATGGAATAAACCAGTCTATGTTTTATCAAAACTGTATTTTCAGAGTGAAATGCAGAAATAAAAGTCAAATCCTTTAGCTTCTCAGAGAATTTTGCCTTATCTGATTCAATATTCAGAACAAAACATAAATACATGCAACCACAAACAGATGGTGTCAATGGAATCACATGTATTGTTGAAATATTATTCCATATTTCCAAATGGAATAATCAAATTTACATTATTTCCAAAAAACAATGTCTGCTGGCAGTTCTTTTGACACTAACCACACACACAATTTCCTTCAAAGCCTGTAGCTTTGTCTCAGGTAATGGCCACTGCTCCACCCATACTGGCACCCCAGGGGACCACCGGATAGCCACAACCTGAGGGGAAGTGGCCCTTAGAATTGGGGGTGAACCTGATGCTCTTTCTTTGGTTTCCCCCCATAATTGATATGGTGAGACAACCCTTGAGTTGCTGACTCTGGAAGCCTATCAGACCCTTCAAGATCCAAAAGGTCATCATGAAAGGCATTGCTATCAGTGGTTATGCAGGCCTGTGTGTCCCCCCAAATATCTTGTCCTATAAGGTTGGCAGATATCCCTGCCACCACCAGGGTCACACTTCCCCTTTAGCTCCATCTGCATCCTGCCAGGTGAGCCATTCTCGAGTCTCCTCTGATGGGGTGTATCCTCACACACTGACTAGATTCACCAGAAGGGCAAGTAGTGGGGAATGGCTGGGGTGCCGACAACACCGCAGACAGTAGCAGGGATAGCAGAATGTAAGGGCTCTAGTGGGGGGAGAGCGGCTATGGGAGGGTGCTATCTGGGAAGTGGGTATAAAAATTAATTAATTAATTAATTAATATTTTTTTAAAAATTTCATTTTTTGTGTGTTTATCACACAGCACATCCCAAACCATCTTATTCATCTTATTCCTTATTTAGGAAGGTCTGCTGTTCCTCATCTAGCAATAATCAGTTTTCAATATTCCTTTATATAAGATTGGGGTCTGCTGTTCATTTTCCCAGTTCTATGCTGGGTTACTATCTGGGAATCCCTTTGGGTACCCTTGCCAACAACTCAAAAGAAGGTATCACCTGTCTGGCATTGTTGCTTGTTATGTAGCCTTTAGCTATACATAAGGACCCTTATTAAATTGTATCGGCCCCTTTAATCTTTGGTTATACTTTCCTTTTGGGTGTTTAAGGCCATACAGTTGGTCCAGATAAACCAATTTATTTTTACTCTTAAGGTTGTTTGAGGATCTGTTCCTCAGGGGTCATATGGGCTTGGGAGGAGCCCCTGGCTCCTTTCTTTTACCAGTTCAGCCTATGTGAAGATAAGTCAAAGGTCCACAAAATTTTAAAAATGTATTATATTTGAGGAGGAAGCATGAAAATTAACATCATGTTAATTAGTAGAGGTGATAATCATTACCATTGAAATCTACCTGATGACTTTATAGACATACACAGGTGCCAAGGATCCAAGTGCACCGATTATGTCTAGAAATAATCAGATCCGTACAGATTAGAGATGCATGTGCCAACATCTCAGTGTTAGTAGCAAAAACAATGAGTCTTTCTGCAAGGAACAATATATTCCAAAATGAAACGTAGATC